AGCGAAGAGTTCCTTCTCAACACTTACCAGGCAGCTGAGAGTAACTTTTACTAAGGAACAGAAAAATCTTGGGTTAACCCCTGTTGCTATGGGTGACATGATTCAGGAATTACTTACTACAGTGACTGAATGACAGGTGATCAATCTGCTTCAGTGTGAAGGATTTAATTAGATTTCGATATGATTGATTTTGGTTTGATGAATGATATGAGATACAACTGCAAGCTGTGTTTGCCAGTATTTAAGAAGTAGTGCAAGAGTTGTGTTAGCAGTCTGCAGTATGATTGGGTGGTTTCGATCTGTTTGGAAGCTTATTAATTCACCTGCCATCAAAATGTGCTTTTAAAAGTTTATTATCAAACTCTGATGCAATGAGGTGCAATGCCTGAAGTAGCTGACTGTGAGCAGGTCTCTCTGGGGTACCCTCTAACCTCTCTCGGACTTAGTAATTACTTTTATACCCAAAGCCTGAGAGTTCTAAACTTAGGACTCCCACCCTCGGCAGGTTAGGACCTACTTTTAGCCTTCAAATGTTTTAGCAATGCGCCCCCTGGCTTTGATTGGCTTGGTTAAGTAAGATGATTAAAGGTTTCCTTCTAACTTGTTAGAAACACAAATTTGTACCAGTATTTAGATATTGATAATTAAATGTGTCACACTGCATTACACAGAGGATTTGCAGCATCACTGCAGACTCTTGGGTTGTATTTTGTAGTAGCATTTATTCCAAATTCAACAAAAGAAATGTTTTCCCTAAAGCGCTTTGGCAGAAATTGTATCTCAAAGAGATGGACAGGAAAAAAAGACCCCTCTCTACTCTTTTCTGGTATGTCAGATTAACCCATCAGCTTTTCCCATCTGCCTGTCACTCAAGGCAGTACAATAAGCCTGTAGCCAGACTGGGGTCATTAAAAAACCATCAACAAAGCAACGGACCTCCAGGGACTGCCAGGGGCAGCCTAATCTGGACCCCAGTACCAACCCAATGGGTGGTCTCCCTCCCTCCCTCTCTCTCTCGGGGAGGGTGAAATACGTGCAACATGGTAGGTGGGTGATGCCGATGGGGCCATCAGTCACACGCAACCATGCATGTGCAAATGCACCCAGACTCCTTCACACACACACTTTTAACACACACACACACACACACACACACACACACACACACACACACACACACACACACAACTTTAAAACACACACACACACACACACACACACACACACACACACACACACACACACACACACACACACACACACACACACACACACACACACACACACACACACACACACACACACACACACACACACACACACACACACACACACACACACACACACACACACACACACACACACACCTTGTCACTGACATATTAACAACCAAGCATGTTGCTAGGTGAGAAAGCAAATTCACTGCAAAAAGAGAAGTTCAAGCAATGCTGGTAAATCATCAGCAAAAAGTACAAGAGTGCTACTTTCAGTTAGTTACACTAGGAAAAAAGTGGAGCGAGGGACTCTTTTTGACGACTTTATGCAAATGCTCACTTCAGCCATCTTGTCATTCTAGAAGTGCTAAATGAATCACTTTGAAAGTGAGAGAGAAGTGTCTTGTTCGCTTAAGCAACAGCAGTTCTCCAAAGCCCATCTGTCTGCCAGTAACGGCGGCATTAGGTGACTAAATAAGCAACTGTTGGGCAAAGGGGAAGATCCTCTTAAATGCTGTGTGTATTTGTGTACATGTGCACTGCATACAGCGTAGATTATCAGCTTTTATTAGCAAGAGGAAACACTGAATGGATGAATGGAGATTGTGTGTGTGTGTGTTTATGTGTGTGTATGTTGGACTGATAGGGGGATTCCAGACACAGGCACATTAATCTAGCACCGAAGATCCAGTGCTCACGTTGCAGCGCTCTGCTCCGGCGCATGCATGCAATAACACACTCATAGGCACACACACAGACCATATAATTTTTTCTGGCCCAATGTGTATAACCAAGAAAGGAAATGAGTGTGTGTGCAAACAGATTCACATTCAGTCATGTTATGTGCCTCTGTGTGTGCATGAGTAGTTTCAGGGGTTTGTCACTTGCCACTTATATCTAAAGGTGAATTCCCGGGTAAATATTCTACCCTCGCCAAAAGAAAAAGTGCCCTTGTGTAGTCATAAATGCAGTACAACGTCTAGTCAAAGACAAAACCTCCAGTGAAACCACACACACTGAGTATTGTGTAACACTACGTAAATTCTCTGATTAGGTACGTCTTCCTCTGAGAGTTAGCTGTGTATTATCATCAATCAGAATGATAAATTACAGAAATTAACTGAGAAAACACTGTCTGTTTTTATCTGAATCATAAAAATTACCCTTGATAATAATACTGAGAAATTATGGTTCAGGGCCATGACTACAATCACATGTTACTCAAACAGAGAAATAGCTTGGGAACATTTAAAGACTCAAGTCAGCCACAACCGACAACAATCAGTTCCGACATTTCTTACAGACATTTATCAGTACTTCTCTATAACTGCTGTCTTAATTCTAAAAGTGGCTGTTAACTTCGTTTTGATAATCACTTTAATCAGTAACCCCACCATTACCCCTTTTGAATTACCAGTGATAAAAAAAATATATAATATATATAAATTTCAAAACTTTAGTTCATCACTCGCACTCTTTCAACAATATTTCACTTAAGAGTCTAAATAAACTTTCCTGTGATGAGTTGCTTGTCTTGGCTTTCTGAGATCCACAAGAGCAATTCAACCTTCATATAATGACTATACAATAATAAGCATAATACAGGTACAATAAATTTTAAAAAATTGATTTTTTTAAATAGCCCACAATGCCAATGGTTTTTTTTGGTAGAAGCTAACTTAGTAAACTGCCAATCTATAACAATAAAGGTTTAAAACTCAAATGACCTGAAAAAAGCTATGCTGAAGCTATACAGCAAAATGTGTAGATCATTTGTTCAATAAAGCCTTTCAATAAAGAAATCCCCTTCTATCTCCTTGCGTGCGGTGAGCTGTCAAGAATTTTACTTACTACAAGATTTCATACTTTCGCCAGCACCTTAGTGTTACTGTGCACAGTCGACTGATAATAAAGTAGATTTGTCATGTCTTTAATTGCTTTATGTATGTTTTTAGCAAACCCACTGCATCTACTGTCCTTAAAAATGTGGTCACAGAGCACGGGTCCTTACATGAGACATACAGTATATATACATACACGTCACCTTACACTGACATGAAAGGAGGAGCACCTGCTTGTGTTCACTTTGCTCTAGTCATCTTGTATTGCGCAGTGACAATGGCACAGATGCTTGTCAGTCTATTCTGATTCTGAGAGAAGAATAAAAGTTTGCATTCTTTCCCAAAGGATGTTTATATTTACTTTAGATGGGCAGATGCTGCACTACGGGATGTGCTGGATAAGGCAGCCCTAAAGTTCCCATGAGCTTTTTTAACTTGGCATAACCCAAGTTGCAGTGCAACTTCACCTACAACCCTCAGAAGATAAGGTGAGTAACACTAACGCTTTGACGTTTGTTCATAATGGCAAGTCATTTGTGTCTCTGAGTGTATGTCACTATTTACACTATAAGCAGTCGGATTACATCCCTTTCTCTACTAGTGCCACACTCTGACACCTCCAAAGTGAAAAACTGAAGAGGAAAAACCGACGTGTACTAAAATCCAGTCTTCCATGCACCTGAAATCCATCTTTGGCAAGACTGAAACGCAATATATACTGACAATATCCAAACCAAAATGAACCTGAGGGGTCCGGACTGATCAGGCTGATTAGCAAAGGAGCTAAAGGCGGTGGTGTGTATATCCGTGTGAATGTGAAGCAGATCAGAAAACCTTCTCTCAGTAAATAAAGGCTCATAACAAGGTGCTGAGCTACTGTTGCTGGCTACCTTAATCTTAAAAGTCTCATCTCTCCCCATTTCAAGCACTTCCAAAGACTCCTTTCAGTCTCTCTCTCTATTTTATCTGGTCATCAGAGCCCAGAGCTCAACAGTTGGACATCAAAGTACCGACAGTGGGAAGGGAGGGGTGTCTGTCTCTCCTTGTCTGTCCCATCCCTGTCTGCAACAGCCACTGAGGGATTCCTGAGACAGACCATGGGGGCCCTTGGCTCTCACTTTACACAGAGAAACCCTATCATTTGGCTCAGTGCTGCAGAGCTACCCGCTGATGCCCTGTAAGTGCCCGCTACATCACATTAGACGCTTTTCATCCAACTCTCTGGAGATGGGACGGTAGTTCAAGGCACTGTGTGTGTGTGTGTGTGTGTGTGTCTCTATCAACAAGCTTTGCTGACTTTACAGAAAGACCCTACAACTGAAGTTTTCCTGGTCAGTTAGTTATAAGAAGCACTTAATTGATAAATTAGTCAAAAATTGAAGTGTGGGGGTGCCCTAGTAACTCAGCTGGTATAGCTGGTCCACCATGTACTAAGTCTGGGTCCTTTCTGCATTCTACATTGTTGTTATTCTCTCACTTGTTTTTGCTTATATTTAGTTTGTGTGTGTTTATTGCTGTGTATATTCACTGAAACTAAAGTAAATTTGCTCCATTCTCTCCATACAAATATTGCCCAAAAAAAATGTGCTATAATGTTTGTACAAGAAAAAGCATTCACGCTTATTGTGGGCATGGCATGGAGATTTCAAACATAAGATTAAGGAGGATAATTAATGCTTTCCAATGTAAACTGGTACAATAAAGCCCAACTCTGTATCAGGGCCAGTAGTCCATATGACATCACCAATATATTGGATCATGTAATATTCCCCCATCCAAGTCTATTTGTGTCCATGACCCAGTTAAAACATCCTGCGACCCACTTCTGGGTCTATCCATCAGTTGGTCTCACAGTGTTTGGGAGTGTTTGTTTTGAGTCCCTCTGTTGTAAGAAACTATTGGAGGAATCCTACCGAGTTCAAAAATATGAACAAACATAACTCACCACAGAGGTGAGCGCCATCTGGAAGCTGTAGATGCGGGCTAGACCAAAGTCTGCCAGTTTTATCTGCCCCCCGCTGGTGACCAGAATATTTTGGGGCTTCAGGTCACGGTGAACCACGCGGTGGCTGTGCAGGAAGTCAAGCCCCTGGAGCAGCTGGTACATCATATCCTATAAGACAAAAAAACAGAAAGAACACAAAAAGAGAGAGGGGTGGGTTTTTGTAAACATGACGATGATACAGAATTAAGACGAAAAATGAGGAGGGTCTAAGCTTTAGGATGTCGGGGGCTTGACATGGTTAAAGGTCAGGACAAAAAAAATGACACTGAACAAACGACACAGAAGTGGAAGTTTAATTACTTGTTTTATGTGTGTTTTAATAGTTCAGCCTTACTTAGTTGTCCTTGCAAAAATGTCAAAAGACAGGTGGCTTTACGACCCCACACCTCTACACCAACCTCTGAATACATTCCTGTCAAACCAGGCAACAAAAGGCCTAAATGACAATAGCCTGCAGTGAGAAGTTAACTATAAAGGCTGGAGACACTGTGGCACGGGGGGAGTTAACTAGAGGAGGCCTGTGTCTTTTCTTGTCAACTGTAGCAGATGTTTGATAACTGACACACACACACACACACACACACACACACGATAGAGGGAGAGAGAGGCCCCACTCTGTACAAGCATTGATCTGTTTTCTCAGCAGCTGTCCGACTTGAGTTAATTGGCGCTCGTTCTCTTTTTATGCCCAAAAGCTGACTTCAGAAACTGCGTATGTGACACACTAGCGAAGGCAAACTGGTGTGAACAGCAATGAACTATGTCAAAACCAGCTTAGACTTGTTCTTTTCAAACCGAAAGAATCTCAAACAGGTCCAGCACCTGTAAACAAATCATTTCAAGGGATTTTGGCCAGGTGGCTTATGGCAGAGCGATTGTTTGGATTAAACTAGGAAACCGTCAATCCTAGTATCCTAGAGTGCACTGGAATATATTTTTATTGTTTATTGTTGAGCCCACTGCTGTGCACGTGGTATCTTCAGCTCTATGGTTTGGATTGTTTGATTAAAGAAAAAAGTCTAGGGAGAGCTATTTGAGGTTATGAACTACTACAAGATAAAAGGAATAAACACAGAGTTTACGAAGATTAAAATGTCTTAACAATCATGTAGTTGTTTAGATGCCTTCAAGAACACAACGAGCAGATAGGAGAAATGGGAGACATTTGTGAAGTGAAATGCCTTGATGCTGCTGGTGGTGTGTTGCATCCTAACCCACCCCCCTTCCAAAACACACACACACTCCCTCCCTATACACACACACACACATGCCCCCTACACCCCCCCCCCAAAAAACACTCCGCCAAGACCTCACAAGTGACATGGACCTGAGCCCGCAGCTCTATTCACTGGCCGACCAGCTGGTGAGTGAGTCAAAGGGGTCTGCACACTCAAGCAGAAAACATTAGCAAATGGCGCGGGGCTGGCTGCTGTGCCGGCCATACAGGAGGAGACAGGGCGCCACACAATGCTGCGGAGATGGGGAGTGATATGTGTGTGTGTGTGTGTGTGTGTGTGTGTGTGTGTGTGTGTGTTTATATACACAGATACTGAGTGTCCCCCTGGGTCTGTCTTAATGTAATATGTGATGTATCTACATTTCAATTTGTGTGTGTGTGCACCTCAGACTGTGTAAGGGTAGATAAGTGTGTGTTTGTGTACGCGCGGGTTAGCATGCACGTGTGTGTGTGTGTGTGTGTGTGTGTGTGTGTGTGTGTGTGTGTGTGTGTGTGTGAGTGCCCTCTGACCAAGGGCAGGCAGGATGCATAAACAGACCTTCCTTTCTACATCTCCATCCAGCCATGACCCAGCGAGGGGGGCAGCAGACAGACAGGGCCATAGGAGAGCGGCAGGCAGTTGGTTATTTTGTGTGTGTTTGGGGGGGGGGGGGGCTGACACAATAGCTAGGCGCCCCCCACCCCACCACCAGTTCCTCTCCGCTTTAAATAGCCATTTCACCGTGCTTCCTTTCAGCAGCATTTCCTAGTAAACACTAATTATCTCAGAAGTGTGACTCTTGGACAAACACACAAACAATCTTGGCCCCCTTGCCCTGAGTGCCATCTTCTCTGCTGTATCAATTACCCTCACAATTGAGTAATGAAAACTATTCCAACTATGCTCAACAGCATATCTTGCTGTATTTCCAACAGGGAAAATGCCACGTTTTGAGATAAAAAACAGACAAACTAACACAGCCACAAAGTTTAAGACCACATGTGGCACAGAGAGCAATAGTGAAAGTTGATTTCAGCTGCAAGAAGACCAACAATAAATGCTCAACGCTGACTCAAAACTGTCAACTGGCAGCACAGAATCACACAAAAAGGCAACTGATCTGACCCTGAAAAAGCAGGAGGACCTGGAAAAAGTAGTCAGCCCTCTGCAAGATGCAGTCAAAACATGGCTTTCTGAGTGCTCCTCCTTTTCTAATGCAAATGTACCAGAGGCAGCCATATTGTTTATTGTAGCTAGGCACAATATGGGACATCTGCCGGTTAGCGTTAGTGTAATTCCCTCCCCATGCTTCATTAACCTCCCCCTTTATGGGCCCAGAGAATGGAGTTGTGGAGGCTTGGACGGTGGTGGTGGTGGCGGAGGAGGGTGGGTGAGACCCAAGCGCTGGCCCGGCTGAGGAGCACTGAGGCTGGGGCAAGCCGACTGCTTGATGTCCTTCCAGCTCATTTGATTCTTGGAGGAGGACCCCTTTCATCAATGACCATGTGGTGGGTCTTGAGTCTGAGTAAGGCTGAGTGGGTGGTGGAGGGTGGGGGCCTGAAGTGGACAGGCTGGGCCAGGGTGGGTGTCTGGTGCTGGGGGTAGATTTGTTTTGAGGAAAAGTATGCCTATTCTGTTTGATTTAGGGTCTTTGGCTGAGGGTGAAATTTTTTTTTTTGTGTGTTTTATTGTATTCGAGGGTGACACTGCTGAATAGTAAGCATTTAAATCAGATGGGCACAGGTGTGTTAAATTTGGGACTGCCGGACTGGGATCCACTGTCTGTTGTCATCTGGTGTAGCCGGGGGCAAATTAAGTTGTTGGGAAGGAGGGAGGGATTTGGGGGTTACTGTGCAGTGTCCACTGTCCTAGAATTAACAGGGGATGGTGCCTGTGTCATCTTGTCACTCCATCATGGTCCTTTTGTCCCCTCCAGCTCCAGCTGTATGGATGTTAGGAGAAAGCTAAAGAAGGAGGGGTGCCTTAAGGGGTCAGTATGCTTCAAACGTAGGGCTTGTCTGATCGTTGAACAGCGTTGAAAACCGCCTCCCCCAAACTTTTGCAACATCAGAATTGGAGGAGGTGTTTCGAACAATTTGTTACTTTCCAAAACCAGCAATCACACAAACTGACTTCACATAGCCACTGGCCAGGTGTTGTTAAGAAAGTAAGCAGGATTTTGACTTCTATCTCAAACTTTAAAAAAAATTGTGTTTTGTTTTTTGTTCTCACAAATAAATCCTTCACTTTTTGTCTAATTGAGAACATGAATGCCTCTGAGGGGACACTATCCAAGTGTATACCATTATCCAGAAGTCCCCAAAGACTTCTGCCTTCAGGTATGGTCAGACAACACACTGTAAAGCCTAGTTAATTTCAAGTAGACCCCATTAACCATTATACCGTCTCAAAGAGTGGACCAGAGATTGTGTGTTAGAATAAAGATATCAGCGAATTACGGCTGTACCTAATGATTAGTTTGTTCAATTAAACCGTCAGTAATTATTAACCTCTAGGGATGTCCAGATCTGATCTCAGAGATTGGCATTAGGAACGATAACTATTGGCTATATTGAGCTAATTGCCCCAATACGATCCTTTGTTTAAACTCAACGGTCACACAGCTCTTTTTACTCACTAAGCTTTCATGTACAGCAACAAAACGAGTGCAGCCATCGTCAATTCTCCAACTCCGCTGAGCTCCATGTATCAGTGTTAGACCGGGGCTCAGCCCACCTCTCAGAACAGGGAGCCAACACAACCACACTCACCATGCCACTGCAAGTGCAAGTGCAACAAAAGCCTGGCAAACAAAAAGCCCATACGAGTAATTCATTAATGTAATCCATGCAAAAGACGGAGGTACAGACAATGAAAATAAAAACTCAACAGAATAGAGTTTATTCAGGTAACTCAAGCAAAGGCTGCTGTGAAGCAAGAAATTCCAGAGACAGCAACAAGCCCAAAAAGGTTATAGAAAGAGTTTGTGATTATATGTTTTTATTATTTATCTAAAAGAAAAAAATTGTTTCTTTATGCATTGCAGAGCTATTCCATTGTCAAATATGTGATTTTAATAACTTTTTACTTAAAGTGGAACTGTATTATATAGGAGAAGACAAGTATCGTATTGGGACTTGATATCGGCAGATTCTCAATATTAAATGACAGATTGGAGACAAAAAAAACAAAAAAACTTTATCGGGACATTCCTATTAATTAATTAAAACTAACACAATTATTTTAGGAGTTTGGTGAACTGTTTTTTAATGTGCTTAATAATTGAATTAATCAGTTCATCACAACAATTTAATTCATAACCTGTACACAATGAACTGGCTACAGAAGTAGGGCTTCTTCCAATGATTTCTTACGATATAAATCATATAATACAAAAGTATTATTGTTATTGTTATTATTATTATTATTATTATTATTATCTACTACTACTACTACTACTACATAAAACAAAGACAAGCAGCAAAGCCTTTGATAAATGCTTGAAAAATCAATTAGTTGCCCATGTATTTTCTTGACTAATCAAGTGGTACTCAAACATTTAAGAATAATGTATCTCCTGATATTTTTTCTGTCAAGTACCCCTGACCAATGCAAAACACTAAGATGGCATTTTAGTTGCACTGAATTGTGTCTTTTTGATATGTTTCACTTACAGTTGAGTGAGAAACAAGCTTTGTGCTTCACTAAGGAGCTTTGTCTTTCTCTGTGGCAGGGAGGCAACTGCAGTTTATAGTTTAATAGGAATGTTGTATATAAAATGTGGTTTATCAAATGCATGACATCTACATTTTTTGCTGAACTTGAACTATAATTATTTTAGGAATATGTACGACTGATATTTTAAACTAACATTTAACATAAAAGTGAATTACCCACTGCAGTACTTGAAAGTACCTCTAGGGGTATATGAACACTCATTTCAGAAACACTAGTCAAGTAATTGTTTCTAAAACAAACACTACAAATAACGATGTAATGGCTGTGCTTAAATGTCTAATAGTCATAATGCAAATAATGAATAATCACTTTCATTGGCAGTTACACGTTTTACATGTAAATGGGTGCTTCAGTGTTGCAGGTGAAGTACAATATTTGGAGTTTATTAACATGATGAACACAATCATCACCGCACTGAGATATCCATAGAAACTACAGTATCACACACTGTATCAACTTCAACAAAAACCCTGGAAAAGCCTCAGGTGTGATCTACCTGACTCGTCTACGTTTGCACAGCATCCTACCAACACTACAGCCCGACACAAAACTTTCACACGTAAACCCGGCCCTAGGGGTGAAAACCAGCGGTTACTCTAGCTTCCAGAACTTCTCTGTTTCAAATATGACACATTAAACTCTGAGGCCCCAACGTCCAAAAATAGAGCTGTACCTCTCCAATATTGTACACGATAAATTTACAGACCTTGGGGTGAAACATGATAAAGATGATTTTTAGAAAGGTGCGAGTGTGGGAAAGATTAAAATAAAGAGAGACAGTTACAGAGAAAAATAGTTGGTGATACATTCATTTCCGACCTTTTGGCAAAGTGTAAACGGACACTCTGTGGATTTATGTAATGAACTGGAGAAACTGATAGCGGTGGCGAGTTTGAATGTGTCGAAACCTCACTGGAATTGTTGGTACAGAGATTGAACTGCTGTGAAGTAGTATGTTTGCATCAAATTAAGTACTCTTTTTAGAATTTCTAACTGTAGTTTCACACACTTTTTCTCTGTCTCCACTGCAATACAGTGTAAACTTGGAGAGAGTGAGGGCAGAGTGAAAATAGAGAAGGCAGGGAGCCTCTAATTTGGAGCCCATCTGCCACATGTGCTGCCCTTCAAAACCCTCCGGTACCTCTGATGTTGGAGGGAACTGCACTCTGTCCCCTGTCTCTGGCCAAGAAAACTCACTCAGTACCGTACAGACATGGCTGTGGTCATGCATGTTCAAGCCACAGAGGATTAGCAAATAGCTTCACTTCTATTTCAAACAGAAATTGAAAGTAATATTTCAAATTAAGTTTAGGAATATCATTAATGTATGTATCATATGTAACAGCATTAGTCTTCCCAAATACATCTAGATAACAATGGTGATATGTTACCTTGATGGTCTCAGGTGGAACCCCGGGGTCAGGGGCCTTCTCCAAGTAGGTGGTCAGGTCCTGATCCACATGTTCAAAGACCAAAGTGAGTTTGGTTTCTCTGTCAGTCCGAGAGACTGTACACACATCAAACAACCTAGAACAAAAGAAATAGGTGGAGGAGATCAATACCAGCGTTTAATTACCTAGACATTCTCATTTGTCCTGCCACAGTTTCATAATTAACCAAAAAAGTTTTGTACTCATAATAACACAAAAGATCTCCAACGTTGTATTAGCTGTACACATGCACACACACACACACACACGTAACATTAAAGGTACAGTATCCACTGAAGTTATCCACTGGTCCAAACTGTTAGTGAAGGAAGTTATCAGTGATAATTTAAATGTATCTAACATTAGCTCATTTAGGTAACTTATGTAGACTAACGTTAGCTTAACTTTAAAATGTACTTAACTGTCATTCGGGGATCATGCCCCCGGACACCTCTAAGGGGTCCGAGGTCCACCCATCACAATCTCACAAAATCCTGTGGGAAACACTGAATAAAAATTGATTCAAAGTGCTTCAATTTGCTTGTGAATACCACTAATAAGACATAATCCCTTCTCAACATGTCTGCATTGGTGCTGCAACAATTATTCAATTCATCAATCAACCCCAAGATATTTTGATAATCTTTTAGCAGGGGGAAAAATCCAAATTCTCCCATTTCAGATTCTGGTTTATTTAGTCCTCGATGACAGTAAACTGATCATCTTTGGGTTGTGGACAAAACAAGACATTTGAGGATGTCGCCTTGGGCTTTGCTTCTGTACTCCATACTGCATATATTTTACTCTTGGAGACTCAAAATAGTGCAAGTTAACGCAAATGGGGACTGGATATAGACACAGCAAAGGGCACGTCAATCACAGGTTTTAACTAATGACATTAATAATGACTGTTATGACTTACTGGAACACCTTAATGTAATGGAGCCCTTATTGTTGTTAGTTAATATTAACTTTGCGTTTCTTGCTATGAAGAGTCAAAGTGTCTGTTTTTTACTTACGGAAAAGGAAAAATCTTCCAATAAAATCTCAACAGCTGAGAGTTAAACATGTGCTTTGTGGTTGGTCAGGAAAGCACCATCCACCAGGACATGGTAAAATCTTAGGCCAAGAACCTGAGTCTGGTCTCTCGGCTCCTGGGAATTTTTTATCTTACAGAAACTTGCAAGCAAAAATGAACATGCTTGGAGACCAGAATTACCACGTGCTGCAGGACACGCAGGTTTCACTGTGTCAGGTTACCACCCAAACGACTTCTATGCAACGCTTTTGAAGATTCAAGACTATCAAGCTTTTACCAGCATTTATGGTTGTCTTTCACTAGGCAACAAACTAAGGCCAAGAATCCAGATTATGTCGGCAGACCTGCCAAGGCAGGCTTTGGTGAAAAGCTGAAAAAAAACTATCCAGTATGTCCTCTTCAAAGAGCTGGGGACCACAAGCAGCATTCCTCAACCAGCACTATGACAACTCCTGATGCTCTATGGGAAGTTGAGTGGACCCTGCCTGTAGCTGCTGCAGAGGCAACATCTTTCATCACAACAACATAGGAGATGAAGGGCGCCATGAATCTTCGTCAGCCACACTGTGTTGGTAGTACGGGTTGCAAACTGATGGGTTACTTTAATCCCATTACCTTTACAGTGTGGCATTATTATCTTTAAGTGCACGTGAATGAGCCATGTGGTAAATATCATTTGTAAAGTCAGTTTAAATCCATAGGCTACGAAACATAACAGATGATTTTTTCTCCCATTACTTAGACTCAACCTACATCTACAAGACATTTAGTGATCAATATGGATTTCCTACAAAAGCTTTTGAGTCACTGATTGAGGGTACCACTGGGTATTAGCTTTAACTTCCAACCTCAAAATGCAAAGACTGATGGAATATTTACACCTAAGAAAGTATTATCTATGATCATTGCGGCAATATTAAATTCATCACTTCAATATTAATAAAACAACTTCCAACACATGTGCTGCTACAATTCAAACTAACTAATCTGCATAAGCCGTTTAAAATCGAAGCATGGAAAGAAGTGACTAAATCTCTCCGGAAACGCTTTCATTCCTATCCAACTAGGCACCGTGCGTCTGTGCCAACACCCTTATAATCAGTGGACTTGGAAATGCTGGAGTCAGTGCAGTGAGAGGCGATTCATTCAAGGTATTAGTACTGTGCATGATGTCACAGAATAGACGGCGCCCTCCTCTTGAAGCGCTGGGGTTAAACGCCCCTCACAGCTCGATTGTTGGGCTACAATGGGGGCTCTCAGCAGACACTGAACATATGGAATGAATAATGGGCCTCATTACAAACATCCAGGGGTTGCCTTGAGTCACACAGAAGGCCCACAATGCAACCTTCCTGGCCTGAGCTGCTTGGCTAGATTGGCTGGCTCAACTGGAGGATAGTGAAGTTCCTTTGATATAACGTGTGTTCAACCACCACATAAAACCAACCCAAGAAAACTTCCCACTGACGTTATTTGTCTTCCAGTGAGAACAAACCCCATTGTGATCCCATTAAGAGAAAACCATTATCCTCCATTATTCATTGATACGCAGGGGAATTATTGTTAGAGGCACAATGGCACTAGCCGTGCATCTGAAATGTTCATTTAGAACTTCCCCTTCAATCCCAAAGCACTCAATATTCCATAATAAAACAATTACCAAGGTCAGACCTTGGCTAGTGCCAACATATGACGCAGTATCTCACGACTGACCTCTGAGTGAACAGTTCATTACAAAAGTGAAAGAAAATGTCCTCTGTGTGCAGTTTGACTTCCAATAACTGAGTTGCTAGAGTGTCAGTGTCTTGCTGAAGAACACGTTGCACCAATGTGGAGTATAGAAAATGCATCAGACCTGTGGTATGCTTTTGAACTGGTTTCATAGTCATTTTAGAAACACGTTACAAACTCTATAGCCAACAGTGAATTTTTGGTGATCCATTACTCATCTTGGGAACTAAAATATTCTAAACTCTGCACTTACTTTGGAGCTGAAATGACTTGTCAATTAATCCAATAGTCGAGCAAAACATTAATTGCTAACCATTTTATATTGTAATTTTTAAGCAAAAATTATGAAATTTCACTGGGTGAAGTTTTCTAAATGTGAGTATTTGCTGTTTGTACTCTTTTCTGATACTAAACCAATAGTGATAGTTCACTTAATAGCTAGGAAGTGAACCTTGAGTTTAGAATATTTAATGTAATATTAAATCAAATGTAATCTATTCCTAATGTAAGCTACAATGACATGCAGAAAAGTGAAAGCCTGATCAATAGAAAGGCCAGCTTTCAGTGGAAACTTCACAAAGGTTCTATGCATGTTCACCAATACTCATCTGTCCTGTCACAGACTCGTGCAAAACGTTTAAGACGCTATTGAATTGGTTTGTCCGGTTACTGTAGAAACATGGCGGTTCCGCATGGCGGTCGTGTTAGAAGAGTACCACCCTCTGTAGAGAAAAAACAGCTCACTCTAAAAAGGTAACAAAAACCAAATAATTATCCTTTCAGTGATTATACACTACTGAAAACATACCTATGAATATCATATTCAATTTCTGCCAATAGATCCTGCTAAATATTACTCCCTGGACCTTTAAACAGGTCCTCTGATTGAAATCATGTATGCATTTATAAAAAGATGCATACTTTTTTCATTATTCTGCACGCACCCCCCTATGTCAGTGGTACCCCCCTATGTCAGTGACATAGGGGGTGAGGGGAGGGCGCCAGTTTGTAAGGATGTTGCATTGTATTTTAGGCCGACTTATTTGTACAGCTTTTATAAAGAGGAATGTGCACGAGGTGGATCAATGTGATGGGAGCCGACCAATAACGACGGACAAGAGGCGGGGTTTCAAACTGGAAGGGGAACCAACAATGCAGACAACTGAAAATGGAGAAACTTATGATCTAACAGGTGTGCACCTACTGCCTGTGAACAGTGGCAGCAACACGCCAGTGGTTATGCAACCCCATGTTCTCATATTGTCAGCAGAAAACAGTTAAAGAAGAGGACTTTAGCTTCAAAAAACAGTGGAGAAGTATCAGTGCAGGCCCACCCTAAAGGTCATATGAGGCAGCATGGTTGCCACCACAGCCCTCAGAAAGGAAGTGCATGTCTGTCTTATACACAAATTGTGTCTCATTCTCTGCCCACCCTCCTCTATCTATCTTATAAACATATGTACACACACACACACACACACACACACACACACACACACACACGGGCTACCCACCTATCCCCCTCACTTACCTGACAACATTGGGGTGCTCAAAGGCTTCAAGCTGCCTCAGTACCGCCACCTCCCGGATGGTGGAGAGAGGCATCCCCTCTTCCTCCGTCTGGACACGAACTCTTTTTAGGGCAACAAAGCGTCCCCCGTTCTTCAAATCTCTCGCCTTGTACACTTTCCCATAAGCGCCCTCTCCAATCTCGGCCACAGGCTCATATTGAGTACCAGTACTCTCTTTGTCCATGTTTGCAGATTTTCTCGCTCTCTCTCTCTCGTCTCTTGTTGAAACTATTGCGGGGAATCCCGGCGAGGGTGACGAGCCAGAGAGTTTTCTCACAAAGGCATATTCACAGAAAAAAGTTGGCACATGCAATGCCTAGATGACAGGGAGACACAGATGGAGGAAGACACCATCTTTGTCAGATTTGGTCAAACTGTGCTCCAGGTAGGCAATAACAGGACTGTCATCATGTTTTATTCCGACTATCAACACAAGAGCCCCGTTGCGTCCCAACTTCCACTCCTCCTCCTCCTATTACGCACTCATGTCCTCCTACCACTAAACACAAAGTAATGTAAGAAATAATTCAAACTAACAACATTCAGCTTCTTTTTATTTTTAAGCTAGCGTTGCGTCAAATAAACTGTCTCGCGCATTTAAAAAAAAAAAAAAAAAAACGAAATAAAACCCTCACTCCGCACGCGGCGTTGTTGAAGTTCTGTCCATGTCTTGAAAGGAAATTAAAGAAGACAATTTAAAGAGAACACGCAAATAGAGAGCACAAACCTTCCACTGCAAGCTGGTTTAAGTTAGCAGAATGTGCAGCTGACAGCTTTCCCTGTCCTGCTTTATCAAACTCTGTTTTGGGGCGACACAAACTTGGCGAGCACGTGGCTGTCTACTGATTGCATTGTCTGAACTTCCTACGGCAACAGTCCATTTAAAACACCCTAAAACTCCACTTTCGCACCCGAAATCGCTTTAGATGTGTAGAACAATGCCTCGGCGTGGTTTAGGAGAGGTTTTTGCGAGCTCATACGGCTTCCTCTAATTTTTTCTAATTTAATTGCGCGTGGGCTCAAATAGGCTAATTAGAATAAAGTCAAGGAAGTCGGGGAATTGCACATTTCAATTTTCTAAATGCTATTGGAGCGTAAAGCAACATTTCTACCCTCACAAAGACATTCTTGGCACAACATTCTGCACAAATATCCACAGTTTTCAGTGTTTACCTTGGTTTATGGTGTCAATAAAATGTCGTAAAGTCGGCATGTCCGATAAAATTCTGAGGAGGATTTCTCGGATTTAAAAAAAAAAAAAAAAAAAAAATTGTCCTGCATCAAACGCATCCCTGTCCACTGTCCTCCATGCAGGGGCCACACAGGTAGTTGGACGGTGCAGGCTCTAACCCCCCATCCCTCAGACTGCTGCACCAGCCCAGGCACACTCAAACAAGGGAGGGGGAGGAAGAGGAGGAGGAGGAGGTGTGTGTGTGTGTGTGTGTGTGTGTGTGTGTGTGTGTGTGAGAGAGAGCGGGGTGGGATGGGGGGGGGGGTATACAAAAACTCATCCACACTCTCACCGCAACTTTGTTGGGGGGCGGGGGAGGGGGTATGTAGGATGGGGGCGTCATAGGACAAAGGCAAAAACGCGTGATGCAGCCCTCCAGAAAAACCACGCTTTTCTTGGGATTTTCTCCTTTCTTTCTTCTTCGTTTTTTTTTTTTTTTTTTTGTTTTTTTTTTTTTTCTCTTCCATATATCCCCGGATAGCAACTATGCAACTGCAGCCCCGCTCCGCCTGTGTGAGCTCCGTCTCTGCCTGGCTTTCCCACGCCGGCTGAATGTGGCCTGACCCCCTTCAGAGAGGTTTGACACGGAGCGGGGACATTTCCGCATTCCTCGCCGACTACAAAGGCTCACCGCCTCCTTTTTGCTCTCCCTCGGCCTCCTCGGTGCTTTACCATTCATAGTCCTCTCCGCGGGTTTTGTCTCCTGTGTCAGACCCGGGAGCACCGCGGGGATCGGAGAGGGGAGAGAGGAGGTTTTATTGGATGGACGGCCACACTATCTATCTCCCTCAAACCATTGAGAAACTCCTGCGGCAACAATGCGCCAGCGGGGATGCAATGTGACAAGCTCGCCCTAGATGGTCCTGAGGGGTCAGGTTCAAGGCCCGGTGGCTTGATCTGTGGCAAGGGGGCGGGGGTGGGGACTCCTCTGCTCGGGTGGTCGTTTGCAAGTGGGCTCCATGCCCCACAACAAGCGTGATGTAGCACTGTGGGCTACGAGATGGCAAACTTTTTTTTTATTTTGTAAAATAGGCCTGTGGGGAATTATACAGAGCATCATCATCGTCATCATCTCACGGTTTACCTTTTGGTTAATTTCACAGCTAAAGACAAAAAAAAAAATTCTGAAACTCTTCTAGTCAATTTAAAACATATATTAATAATAATAATAATAATAATTACAAACAAATTTCTCAGAATAAATATAAATTGTTTAAACTCAAGCTACAATTTGTATATAAACATCAAAGTTATTAGCTATGTTATGGAATGTATTATCAATAACTAATAATTTATGTGATAAATGTCACTTCTTAAAACCTAAAACTTTACATTTAAATATCTTTTAACCCACACAACAAAAATGTTTTATATACTTAAAATCTTGGCTTTTATCTATTCCTTTAAAAAATAATTAGATGTTTCATGTTTGCTTTATTTAATTAGTAGTTTGGTTTTATTTTAATATACCAATTTGTGCTTAAAATAAAACTGTATTACATATATCAGGTGTAGACATTTAAAACAATAAGTTCTGTCTGAAAAAGTTCTTTAAACTCTGACATTAAGTTTGTATTTCACATTTTCTTTTTTTTTCGTGCTGGACACGGTTTAGACATGACAAGACTTGATGTCAGATTTATTTCAATGAATAGCCAATTACAAGCGTGTAACCAAGCTCCATTATCATATGTTCATTGGAAGACGTGTATTAGAGATGCACATGAGATCAGAGAAGGGACATTCCCCCGCTGCTATGATTTACATGCAAACCTGCCCCGCATGCTGCTTGTAGAATCGACTGATTTCCATTGAAAAGGTAAAGGAGGGAGGAGATAATGACATGGAAGTATGTATGGCAATCTCCCCTGCCCAACTTTATAGGCAACCCCAAATTTAAACTATTTGCATCACAAAACACACAATGCAGACAATGTCTCCCAGACCAATTACTGTAAATGTGGGCATTTACATTTTTTCATCATCATTGTTCATGTGAAATCAGCCCTGAGAGCCATTGCCCAGATTGAATACACTGGCATGCATACTTCTCATGTAGCTGTGTGCGGTATAAAGATGAGACACACATACATTCTCCAACAGTCATTCATTACCCAATTAGACCCAAACCTTTTTTTTTTTAAGTCCCTCTCCACTCCAAAAAAATGTTTTCTTCTTTTCCTTACAGTGTGATGTTTGATCGGCTGAAAGTGGAAAGTTTCTGTGATTTTACGAGTATGATTGTTGACTTGACAAATTGTTTAGTCCAGTATGCAACTTATACAGTGTGCTGTAGAAACTTGAAGACATCTTGTGTCTGGCAGAAAACTAACAAAATCTACATATTCGTAGATTCTGGAAAAACACATAACAGACATACATTATTGTTCCAAGCAGATTTATAGTATATATTTCTTAACACATATCTGGAGGGGATCTTTAAGTTTCCACAGTCTGTGTTTTTCATGTGTTTCCCTTGATGCAGCCCATGCTGGGGAATCATTTTTGAGAAGATGCAGGAACAGGGTGGTCCAATTAAGAGCATCCTGTTCTGGGAGCTGCATGATCAGAATATAATTAAATGTTTAGTCTTGTGCTTTTCTCAAGTTCTTTAAGTTATGAACAATAATACCATGTACTGACAATTCAGAACCTCATGTGGACAAGAAGCAAAAATAAAAGGTGAGACAATTCTGAGGCTGATGGTATCATTTTAGTGGCAAATGATCTTCTAGCTGATTACTCTTTTTGACACCTATTTTCATCATTTATCATTTTTATTGACTATAGTTTTATGAAAGCGACACCTTGTTTTCTAACTTTTACAAGACACAGTTTAAATAGGTCTAGAACAACAACCTGTTCATCTTGACTTTCAGACACAGTTGCTCAAGATGAGCTTATGTGGAATTGGTGACTTGTACATTTCAGAATGTTATTCAATTAGAACATTTCTAATTTTGCTGCAGACGTTTTATGTTGCTGCTATTTAACGCTGGCATGTTGTGTTAATCACTGGTGGAAGAAGTATTCAGATCCTTTACTTCAGTAAAAGTAGTGATTCAAAAATTAGAAAAGGAAATTACTTATTGCAAGTGAAAGTTCATGCAATCATTCAGGTCTACTTAAATAAAATACAGAAGTATCATAAGCAGAATATAGTTCAAGTATCACAAGTCAAAATAGGAATTCTGCAACAGAGTGAGAGATATTATTTAGCTTGTTCATACTGATGATGCATAAACATGTAAGAAGCATTTAATTGCTGTAGCTAGTTAATGTGGAGTTAGTTTTAACTTTATCTAGTTGGGTTTAATCCTGGTTCAGGCACCCTCCATGGGGTCACAAAATAAATCTGGGGGATCACACGATGAGTAATGGGGAAAAAAGAAAATAGAAAGTCCTTCTTAACAAATTTCTAATAATTTTTGTGGATCTTTGCTATTTTGTGAAATATTGGATAATTTTATCTCGTTTCTAAATGGATCCTATCTTGGAGGTTAAAGGGGGGTCACTACTGCTCTTTAGGTATAACATAGCGTCAAATGGAAATACTAAAATAAGTTCCACATACTATAAAACTGCACGCTGGTGTTAATCGCAGATATCTCCTCGAATGTAGCTCCATGCCACTGATGATTTAAGCATGTCTTGTGGTCACTCCTTATCAAAACTTCACAAACACTCCAAAACAACAGTTAAGAAACACAACACAAGTTGCAGCAAAGCCAAATTCCCCAACTGGCATTTCAGCTTGCCAGTTGACGGTTTAACAATACTGCTTGACAGAGCCACTCCTTTACATTTTGCTACAAAATGCTAATACTGCTAATAATATGCTGGTCTGATTGTTTTTTTCTTAGTCAACATGTTGACTTAATTGATGCTGTAGTTAAATGTTTGTCAGACAGGTTGTATAGACCGTTCCTCAGGTATGGACAGGTCAAGTAATAAGCTCTTTCTGCATACTTTAATGTTGCTGTGATAAGACAGTGCAGGGTGTTTGGGGTAGAACTGCACATTCTTCAGGTTCAGATAAAAGCAGATATCATATCGCAGGGGAGAAAACCAAACATTATAATTGTGAGAGCAGTGCTTCTTGCTTTAACGGGTTTCTTATCTATCTGTCAGAGTTGGAGGTTTGTTAGCATTTGAGTCTGGTAATCAAAGGCAAACCCTTTTCAATATATCATTAAATAACAACAGAAACAAAAACTTAATTCAAAGCTCTAAAAATTAAAGCTGCAGAAATAGGTTTTTGGGCCATTTGGAGGCAGCAGAACAAGCTGTAAACACACTGTTGACACATTATACAGTAGAAGATCAATATGGCGATTTCTATTATATTCTATTAATGTACCCAGCACACAAAGAGCAACATTAATATTTATGTGGAGTCATGTTTATATCCATTCAGCAAATGTAAATCCAATGTTCACTCTTTAAGCTCTCTTATGATTTCCACCAACTGCATACGGAACTATCTGGCTGTTTATCAGGGCTCAACATGAGGATTGCCCACTTGCCCAGGGCAAGTAAATTGCCACTCCGGGCAAGTAAATCTAGCAAATCTTAATAATGGGATTTTGTTGCTTTTTGTTTGTTCTGTAGATCCTTCCACTGTGATTCTTCCTCAGAGTTCCTCCATTTTTTCCCTGTCAAAATATTTATTTTGAGGACTTTTTTCTTACCAGAATCGAGGATCTAAAGGACAGAGGGTACTGAATGTTGTATATATTGTAAAGCCCCTTGAGGCAAATTGTGATTTACATTTTTTTTTATTTAATTTGACTTGATGAGCAACTCCTTCCATGTTACACACAGTCATTTTAGCTGTAGCTAATATCGAAATGTTGATTTGTTTTTACCAAAATTGCACCCGCTCACAATTCTCAACAATTTGAGGCTAGTACAGTAATAATATGGTGTCATGCTTTTACAAAGGCAGGGCACTTGAGTCATAATGTACTGCTGCTTTTGAGCACCCCGGAAACCCTGGCCCTATTTTCACTCTGACTCTGAGATGTTAAAGAAAGAAAATGCGTTATGTGTGTGTATCTGTGCGTGTGTGTGGGTGCGCGTGGCAGCTGCTGATCAGTCCAGCCAAGAGAGAATTATGGCCCTCCCAAGGGGGACGAGGGAGGCCAACAAGGGACAGGTGACTCCCAGTCTCTCCCAGATCTCCTT